GTGGGACCGTGTGACCTATACATTTTGATCTTGATCAACTAATTTTAAAATTTGTGACAAACGAATTAAATGTGAACTATAATATTTTTGAATTGTAATAATAAAATAATCTGTGACATATAAAATTATTAATTTGTGATCTCGAAATAATCTGCAACCTGAAAATTTTTTGATCTGTGACCGATAAACAAATTGTGATCTATAAATTTTTTTAACCGTGACCTCGAAATAATCCGTGACGTATAAAATTTTTAATTTGTGACCTTGAAATAATTCGTAATTTATAATTTTTTTGATTTGTGACCTCAAAAATAATTCGTGACCAATTAATTATGTATCTGTGACCATTAATTGTTTAATTGTGACATCATTATATTTACTTAATTAATTAAATCATAAATAAATTTTAATAAAAATCTGATTTTTGAAATTTGAAACGTTTCTTCTTAGTTTTGAAATATGTGATACTTAATATCTTACTTATGAATTTTTCCCTAAATTATTATAGACATTTTGGGCTAGTTTGCAGTTTCTTTAGTGGAAATGTGACGGGGAACCTAAAATTTATTAAAAAATCATTTTTTATATTTCCAAACTTTTTTTCACCAAATATACTGCAATATATGTAGTATAATTGAAAAATGAAAAATATCCTCAATCCCATATTTTAATATATTAAAAGTTGAAATCATTCCACCAAACAAGCCTCGTAACTCATCCCCAATTCACGCCCCAATAATCTTCAATCTCCTGTCTTTACCATTAAAGTTAAACCACAGAATCAGGAAATTGGTAAATCAAAACCAAAAAATCTCCAATACACTCTAAGAACTCTGTAAATCCTATCTCAACATGTAATTTCACCATATTTTCAGTCCAAATCGATTCTCCACCCGAAGATCAATATTTCTCCATCAGCATAGCGATCCATCATCCTATGTAAATATGTTGAATATGCGTTGAGAGAGTCAAGGATTCCAATCTCTATAAAAGTTCATTCTTTGCAATCTTTGCATCGCATAATACATTAAAATCCTATTTGAGAGATTACACTCCGAGCACCAAGCTTATAACCCTGTTATATGGAAAACCCAAAATGC